GTTAAAGTGGCAAAGCAGTCGTAAGAAACTCTGTTAAATGGCAAAGCCGTTGTAGGAAATTCTGTTAAAGTGGCAAAGCAGTCGTAAGAAACCCTGTTAAATGGCAAAGCAAACCTAGGAAATTCTTTTAAAGTGGCAAAGCAGTCATAAGATACTCTTTTAAAATGGCAAAGCAGTTGTAAGAAACTCTGTTAAGAATGAAAAGGAAACCTGAATATGCGTTACGATAGCACCTTAACGAAAACAAAAGCAATAGAATGCGTGACGAGACGATATAGGATACGAAGAATAAGGGGAAAGAATATATCTTTTGTTTCGCGATCTGTAGGTTGATCAGAAGGGAGCAAGATAAAACCGGACAAACAGACAATCGGTGTAATGAAACTTAGTTCTAGTATCTAGCCGTTTTAAATGTTGCATACATTCACACTTAAAACATCGCCTGTACCACGACATGTAGAGCATAAAACCGAAACCCTTTTCAATAAGAAGTAAGAAGCTAAACTATTGTTATTTTTTGATAATATCAGCGATATGGGTATCAAGTAAAGGAATTCGCGGAGTAGAATGCGAGAAACATAGTGGTGGGCATGCGAGATTCGGCTGCGGCCGAATATAATTTTCCGCTTCGTTTTTCAGTAGTACTAGTGGAAAAAGGTTAGGCATTTATTTAGAGGAATACATTGGCAGTAAATGGAAAATAGAAAAATTAAAAATTATATAGAAATTATACTTAAAATACTAGCATTGCACGTTCGACCAAAAGCGTAAAGTAAAATGATATAACATCTCGACCAAACTTAGAATCGAGAAACCCATAAATAGGCCAAATATGCCACCGCAATTGGCCAAGAAATCCGTTACACCATATAGCTCTGAACGTTTCGAAGTTATAAATTGATTCTCCTTAAAATAGATTTCTAAACGTGACATTTGCAGGTCCTGGGGTGTATTGGTGATACCCATGGCACTCAATAATTTATCCAAATCGAAATTGCCCTGAGATATCTCAGCATTGTAGACTAGGGAAGTACAGGCTGGCATACAATTGCATTCGGTTAGACCGCGATAATTAAAATCGGTCGTTTTAAGACCTTCAGTAAATTCCCGCAAAAGCAAATCATCTTCGGCTTGCGCGTAGCAATGAATTTTATCCTCCCTACATATGGGCATATCGTGGGTGCGAGGCATAGAAAATTTAACGCAACCGCATTTGTTTAAAGTGAAATTAGTGAGACATTCTAGTTCGCAATTAGTTTGGGTATATATTTTGAAAAATTTCAATTCCCGTTCATTGCTTAGGAAGCATTGTCGCCTCTGGGGATGATAATAGGCTATACCTCCCGATGTGGTAATCATATTTGGTTTTACTGCTATTAGTATTTCTTTACCCAAAGGTATGCGTACAAATTGTTTTGACACTTGCGGGACATCGTCGGGCGAATGTAATAAAACTTTAAAACCTTGTATGGGTCCACGGCACAAATAATCCAAATTTTTGCCTAAATTTTGTATGGCCACAAAAAGGCCAGCACGTGAACCGGCACTTAAGACTCGGGCCGGATATGTATGAATGCCGGTATTTTTGGAATAACCGTTTTCTAATGACCAACTCAACGATCGATTTGATAACCAATTGCTCTTTGGAATAATGATCTCTTGGGCTTTCTGATGCTGACAAGTGTTTTCACGATACAAATCTGTATTATTCAGCCCATTGAAGGTAAAGCAGACGCCTTCTTCCGTATAGGTTTCAATAAATAAACCTTTACAATCACCGAAAACATTGAACCATTTGCAGAAGGTGAACATCGCATCAAAACTGGGTGCCATTCGATCTAAAACGGCAAAGTAATCCACATGTTGCGGATACAAGACTGGAATACCTTCATCTATGATCTGAGTGTTGCATATATGCAATAAAGTAACAAACTCCTCTAGTTCGGTATCACTCAAATTTGCCATTTTTGCAGTAAATCTTCGTTTATTTTTTACATTGACTTTTAGCATATTAAACAAATCACCATAAGAAGGCGCTGAAACGATAATGATAATGATAAATAATTACATATATAAATGAAGTAATACCATCTTACCATCCAATCTCAAAGTTCTTTTAGTTTCGGTGCATATGGTTACAGCTGGGAAAGGTATATTCCAAACAGGTGTAGATTTCTCGGAGAAACTCACTATAACCGGCGTTTCATTCCATTTAATATAAATGTTTCGAATCAATGTTAAAGCGCAATAAATAGAGATAACAAAAACGCTAAACCAAAATAGTTTCTCCCTGAACGGTCTCGTTTCACCCAAATATTGAATACCATGGATCGAAGTCTTGGCACAATAGTCACTTACAACTGTTCGCATATTTGGACAGAATATTTTCTTATCAGGCATTTCCGAAGCAGACGATTTACTAATATTATCCCCATCATCATCGATCGTTCCATTTTCATTACCATTTAAGTCAACTTCTTTCGAATTCATTATGTAGAATAAATGACAAGCAAATGAAGCGACTATTATAGCACACTGAATGTAAAAAAAATGACGCATAATTAAATTACCGTTATATTAGAAAGTAAAAAAAAAGAAGTAAGAAAGTTATATTTGGCGATGGCCGAATCTCGCATGCCCTCTTTTATTTGATACCTATATCGCTGGTATTATTAAGAAAAAACTAATCCACCAGGTCGCGATGTCCATCATATCCATTTTAGAACTAACCCCTTTTTCAGCAGATCATACGTCTTCATTTGAGGAATGTACAAATTAGTTTTAAACATTCGACCTTTCTTGACTTATGAGATAAATAAGCATAAAACTTCAGAAAAGTGAAGAAAAAAATGAAAAATTTAATCACTTGTAACTTGTGTAGGCATGGCTGATTTTTTCCATTTTTACACGTAAAGAGAAGAATGCTTCGGAAATAATAATATCTGAGTAAGGAGCAAAAACCCACAAATTTCATTGCTACGCTCAAGCCGAAGATGATTTGCTTTTGCGGGAATTTACTGAAGGTCCTAAAACCAATATTCGGTTAGACCGCAATGCTAGTATTTTAAGTATAATTTCTATATAATTTTTTATTTTTCTATTTTCCATTTACTGCCAATGTATTCCTCTAAATAAATGCCTAACCTTTTTCCACTAGTACTACTGAAAAACAAATCGGAAAATTATATTCGGCGGGGCCCGAATCTCGCATACCCACCACTATGTTTTTCGCATTCTACTCCGCGAGTTCCTTTACTTGATACCCATATCGCTGATATTATCAAGAAAAAATTAATCACGGTGTCTCTACGATATTCATTTTAAACTCAACCCATTTTTGGGCAGATAATATATCATGATTTGAGAAGTGTAGAAAATAGTTTTAAACATTCGGTCATAAGCACAAAACCTCAAAGAAGTGACAAAAGAAAATTTACTTACTCGTAAATTTATGAGGGCATGGCCGATTGGTTCTATTTTTGGATCTAAAGAGTAGAGTGTTTTGTAACATAAATGTGAAATATTTCAGCCTTGTAACTTTAATAAATTTCGAGTAACGAGCAACAATCCAAAATTTCTTGTTAAAAAAAGCGTAGTTGCGTTCAGTTTACGGTCCACTGCTCTGACCAATTTCGTCCATTTTTAAAACCAACCAGCGTACCCAAATTTGAACATGATGTCTTAATTTTTGCGACCAACAGAGTGTCAACAACAAACACGATTAAGACGGACAGACATGGCTTAATCAATTCAGATTTTCATGCTGATCAAGAACGTATACACTTTATATGAGATCGGAAGTTTCCTTTTGGCTGTTACATACATAATGGAAAAAAAACAAGTTGAATACACCCCCATCGTTCAATGGTGGGTATAAAAGTGAATAACAATAATTATTAATTAAATCGTTGTAATTGGAAAATACAGGTAGGGGAGAATATATGGAAGGGATTTGAAAAAAAAAAAATGATCGCACACCCAACACATTTTTCCAGATTTAATTCGTATCCTAAAATATTAAAATGAAATCCTATTAAGGCGGCTAAGCTTTGGCCCATTTCGTTATATTATTATACTCGTAACAGGATGCTATATATGTATACGATATTATAAGAAAAAGAAACGTATGGTCATCTTAATTTTAAACTTCATCTAATATATGAATGTGTGCTGGACGAGCAAATTAGATTTTGATGAGCATTCAAATATGGACGTCCTCGTATAGCACGGTTAATTCGTATTTATTATACGAGATTTTTATTATTGTTTGTTATTCAAACCATGATACGATATATGGTTTCAGCTTAGATGTAATACAAATCAAGCAACGTGTATTGCGTCTTACCGAAAACTTTTTTCCACATCTCATCAAATTTTCCGTTGTTAATTTGCTGAATAATAGAACCTGTGTTCGAGGCAATATGTTTTGTGTTATATTAAAATGAAAACTTAAGACGGATGGATGGAACTTGATGATGGATCTGGATGGAATGCAACATCATGATGAAATACAAATATTGAACAATGCAAGAAAATATTTATTCAAAAAATTACAATTATGATCATAAAATTAGTTTTCTTCAGTTACAGCTAAACTGTTTTTTTTTTTCTTCTCAAAATTAATTAAAATCCCTCTTCATTAGTTATTTACCCTTCATTATAAAAGTTATCTCCCCATTTCGACTTAACAATTCTGCTAGAATTTCGTTATATGAGGCTAAAAAAACTTTGATATTGTTTTGGAAATTTCCCTCTATATACTACTGTAGAATCTATCTCATCGAAAAAAAGGTTTTAGTTTTTTAGCTAAAATCATTCCTTCTTGTAGATCAGTTAAATTCAACTAAGGAACCGTTATATGTTAACGCAAATGTTTTTGGAAATTCTTGGCATAATTAGAAAATTGAGGTATTTAGTAATAGTTCAATTAGTTCTCCCTCATTCAAAAGGTGTTTTCTAAATAGTTCCCGAATATCATTAAAACGACCGCCGATTATATCCTTGCTTAAAGAAAACAAAGTTTCCACTCTGAACCACCTGATTGTAGAATGCAATATAATTGAAAGCAATTGAAAATAATATCCCCCCATATATATATATATATGTATATATATTCAATTATATATACATATTCAATTTATATATATATTCAATTTTTTAAAACAATATCTATAATCAGAATTATCGCAAAGTTTGTACCGTGCCTTACGAGAGATGCCGATATAGCGAAAGTGATGAAAGCGGAACGAATTCGCTTTAATGTCGTTCTTTTCTTGCAATTTGAAATTTCGTTTGACGTGTTGATAAGTTTATTCTCTGCCATATGACAACATATTCAAACAGCACACATCGATATATATATGTATATATAAACGTGAACGTGAATTTTTCAACAAGCAAAAGCAAAACAAAAAGTCTCTAAGCGACGAATTTTTCAAACTATGCAAACTATCGGCAGTCAACTCTAAATACGCGAATGCGTTCATCTCTTAATTTAACGACTTGTGCTATACATATTGCGAAATTTTCTAACTCATTTAATATATGACCAAATTTTTTCTTTGAATTTTTTTAATTTTTAAAATGAAAAAAGATTAATTTAATTGTTAATTTCGAGCAAAAAACGCTCTAAAAATATTTCGCTTTTTTTGCTTTTTTGCTAAAGAGTTTCTTGCAGTATAGCACGTGTTCTTATTTTATATAAAATGTTTGTATTTTGTGTGTAAAATATAACAAAAAAAAAGAGGAAAAAAAACAAAATGTGCGCAGTGCATAGATAATGTGGAAAATTTTTATTTCTAATAAGAGCTACGTTAAGCTCGAAAGGCATTTTTAAAGTAATCGAAAATTTTTGATAAGAAATGCTGCTTAGCTACAATTTCATCATTTAGTGATTTTTGGCTTACATTTATTTCTCATCGATTTCGGCGAACGGAAAAAAATTTGTTCAGCAATTTACTTTTATCAAATATGTTTCTAAGCTAAATGACAAAAGAAAAAAAAAAAAAAGCGGAGATACTAAAATAAATAAAGGACCTTCAAGCAATATATGCAAAAGAGAGAAGTATACCATTGAGAGTGTCGGGGAGGGAGGTCATCTGCAAACCACTTGTGACCCATCTCCAATCCGGTATATGGCATCGCAAGGTTTCTTATTCGCACCGAACAACTGACACAACTGTTCCCCATATATGTATATACATACATGATTATATATACGTGCTCATATATAGATACATTTTTTATTAAAGTAATTGATCACGATGACGCACTGGGAGGACTTTTATAATACGCATCTACCACCAACGGATTTCGAAGATAATCGTTCGCTATTAAAGGAATTTTGCGAACGACACAATAAATTAAAAAATCGAATTGTCCTTGTAACTTCAGGTGGTACAACAATACCTTTGGAGCACAATACTGTTCGCTTTGTGGATAATTTTAGCGCTGGTACACGCGGTTCCTCTTCCGCCGAGTATTTTCTTGATCACAACTATGCTGTGATTTTTATGTATCGTCAAAAATCTCTTGAGCCATTTACACGTCACTTTACTGGTCAACAATTTTTTGATATGCTTGATATAACCGATAATGGCCAAAGCACCACAATAACCGTGAAACCAGATTCAGTTGATGTGTTTGCACCAATATTGGCCAAATATAAGCATGCACGTGAATCCCAAATGATACTTTATATGAGCTTTACGAGTGTTGTGGATTATATGTGGTTACTGAGAGCGACTTGCGAATGTTTGACTGCGTTTGAGGATCGAGCCGTGTTATATTTGGCGGCAGCCGTATCAGATTTTTACATTCCGCAGGATAAAATGCCTACACATAAAATACAATCCGGGGAAGGTCCTCCTACGATATCATTACAATTAGTACCAAAAATGTTGGCACCTTTAGTCAACTTATGGGTGCCACATGCATATGTTGTTTCGTTTAAATTAGAGACAGATGAGAATCTATTGATTGCGAAAGCCCGAGATAGCTTAAGTAAATATAAACATAAGTTAGTTATTGCGAATATATTGCAAACACGTAAACATCGCGTAGTTTTCGTAACTCCAACGACATCCTACGAAGTACATTTAAGTCGAGAGCAGTCATTGCAAGGCCTTGAAATTGAGGAACCAATCGTCGCCGATGTAGTTCTCAAGCACAGCGAATTTATTAACATTAACTTTAACACTGATCAACGTCAGCGAGGCAGCGTCGTCGCATCCAAGTAGATTTTGTGCTGTGATAAAAAAAAAAATACCCGAAACAGTAATGGGATGCAGTAACTAAATGCACAAAAAAAATTCATACGAATTGTCTTTGGCAACTTACCAATTAACTTAGCGACTTTCAATACAATAAGAATATTGATAGATCAACTGTCACGTCCGCATATAACAGGGCACTTTGCAACTCGACCGAATTCAAGATGATGGGTAATCGGAAGATTCGCTTCATACTGAATATAATTTTTAATAAATTTTTGCTTATTAAGAACAATTAAGTACAATAAATCCGTGATTATTTCTTCAATTTTTCTTTTATAGAGAATATAAAAAGACATTTCAGTTATATATTTTTGGGATATGGTGTTATAGACCTTCACATTAAGGCCTTTGTATTGTGAGACTTATATGCCTAACATATTGGTAGTTTATATAGCATATAATAAGCGATGTACGATTAACGTTGCAAAGTTTGGTTAATAAAGATTAGTTTTAAGACATAAATCAAAAAAAAAAAAAAAAAAAAATTGAAATGTTATATTGTGTTAATGTAAATATAAAAGTTAACAACCTGAACATGAAAACTTGAAGGAATTTGCTTTTCTAATCACGTAAGTGAGTTCACTACTCAAGATAAGCATCATTATGTGCATTAAAATGGTCATAGAAGTTATTAAATAATCGGAACAAATTAAAGAAGGAAGCATTGCCAAATTTATGACATGTGAGAATGAGGCGCCCAGCAGATCAATTTGTGTTGCGAATTTCTTACATATCAATTGCCAAAAATGGGACAACAATTTTTGACAATAATATATCGGTAGCTATAGAAGACTTCATGTCTTCATGCCTAACGATACAGAGATGCTCTAGATAAAGAGAGGATTCACAACTTTCATCATATTTAACTTCTTAGTTCGTGAAGTAGACTTCTTTCGGGAAAAGTCGACCTACCAAACATGCCATTCGATGGTGCAAGTTCAGTACTTCGGCTCAGCATTTTGTTTTCGAACATTTGTATTCCATCTTCTCGGTGTTTTATGGGAAGTGATATGAGATCGAAACAGCGAATTCAATTCTTAAGTTGCTTATTGATCATTGGTTTGAGAACGTTGTGCCCTGACTGCCAAATCTTCAGGTCTTCTTTTCATAATGTGCTTGAGAGATTAGTCGGCGATTATGATTTTTGCCAATAAACGAGAACATTTGTTTTCATTTCTTTTATAAAGAGAGATTCCAAGGTTAAAATGATTGATTGCAAGGTTAAAAAATGTACCGTAGAAGACGTTAGTTTTTACCGAGAGACTTTCGGACGCATCTTGAAATGAAAAATCAGCAGACTCTACTGAAAAGTCCTCAAAATCTTGAAGCTCATGTAATCTAGTAGTATGCAAATTAAATAGAATGCGGATCATGCGACTGTTTTGCTGCGCCTATGGCCAATCCGTAGTTACGTCTAGAGTAAGGATGAAGAATTTAAAAGAAGTTTAGCCAGTTTACTAAGATGACGCAATTGTAAGCTGTTTTGATATCCAAAGGAGCGGATGGCCAAGGAAGCTGTTGAAAACAATTAGCTACAGAATAAGATATATATATTCATGTTGTCTATTCTGATCGCCTCGGTCAAAACTGCGCAAATTCAAGGAAAAAAGTTCTCTAAAGCAATGAATTTTTTTTTTACATATTCTAGGAGGTCCAATCCGCTTATTAGACCGCATTTTTTAAACCCCTCGTAAGACAATCCTTATATTTCCTCCACCCACCTTTAATATAAAATATAAAAGCTGAATTCAACCATTTTGACAATTTTTTTTTTTGTATTCTTCTTGCTAGATGCCCCTACTTCTTTCAATAAAGTGCCTTATGCCTTTTTTTACAAGTTAATTCAGGTAGCTTGCAGAACGCTTCTTGGATCTATCTTCGCATTTGTCTATCGCGTTGGTTAGTTCTGTTTCTGAAATTTATTTATTTAAAAATTTAGAAATACGTATATATATATAATATATATATATATACAATTTCATTTAATTCCTTTTTCCTTCTTGTTATTCCCACAACAAAATAGTTTTTCAAAAAATGCAAGCGACAAATTTAAAATCATATGGTGCTTGAAATGCTAATCATATGATTTCGTTTTGTTTGGATAAACACGTCACTGTTTTCTTTATCATTGCAATGCATGCAGCAAAATTAAAATTGTACCAAACAATTGCATTTTGCACTAATGCAACTACACATGCACATAAATTATATTTCAACAATTCATGCATGATGCCCAATGCAAATAAAGTCATTGTGTGAAATGCTTAAAACTATCACGTCATAACGGACGTAGTAACTATGGTTTTAATTGATTGAGGCTACCAAAAAGGTAAAAACATGTTTGCTTCATCCATTCAGTCGTCTAAAAATGCTTTGCTTTCTTTACGTGTCATGCAGTGCGAGAAATAAAAAAAAAAAATTATCACAAATATAATAAACATTTTATTATTACAAAATTGAATGATGTAAAGAAGTAAAAAAGGAAGAATATTTACAATAGCATAAAATTACAGTTAAAATTTTGGGATAATTAGAAAAAGTAGAAAGAAATCGACTTGTTTTTTAAACAAAAATAAATTGTATTCTTTTCATTACATATACAAGTGTTATAGATAACATAAAAGTTTACTAGGACTACTTGTTAAAGCGTTGTGAAGCTTAAGGAAAAATTAAAAGTTTAGTAAGCATGAAGCCTCACAAAATCGAACAGTGTGTTTTTCACTTCTTTATTTCTTACCTTTCGTAAAATAAATATTTCAACCTGGCAATATCGTATCTATTCAGCCTTTTATTTAACAGTGTTGAATTTTGTAAAGAATAATAATGAGTTCGATAAGATAGGATGCAGACTGTAATTTTCAGAGTAAACGGAATAAAACAGAAAAAAAAAAGACAGTACGAAAGAAATACAATTGAGTTTTGTCACCGCCCTGCTAGTTTTATATTTAAGAACATATGCCCAAAATTTAAATCGATTCATTTAAAATATTGTGCAAAATACTAGTGTAAGTGCAAAATATTGATGATTCATAAAAATTACGTAAGAAATTTTATAAGTTTAAAGTAATAAAATTGTTAAAAAAAGAAAAAAAAAAAAAAAGTTAGTATTCAATGCGTAAACATATATATAAATATGTATACATACAAATAAAGGAAAGATGATTTCATTGTAATCAATGTTGTCAATTTCTCATAAACATAATAAGAAAGTAAACGGATGAAACCAAAAGTAGAGGAATCATAAGAATAACAACAAGAATATATGAATGAAAGAAATCTGAAGAAGTGAAATTCTTATATTGTGGTGTAGTACAAGAAATTTGACTAGGCTAACGAACAAACGCTAAAATGTTAAAAATCTTCGACTGATCTCACCAAGCAAGTTTAAACGCCTACGTCTTAACACTTTTTGTGATATACATAAAATCGTTTTGTCGCTACAGCATCTACGAATCATTTGCAATACATAAATTCGTAACGTTTTACGTTAATTGGTTTCTTTTCAATATCATGCTCATTTGGTTTTAACGACTACCACTGACCTCATAAAGAATATGTTAGGATTAGTTTTAGGGACTTTTGAAAGATATTAAAAGGAGAAAAACCGGAGTTTTTATGAAGTCAACGCTTTCCTTTGAAATTAAAAACTTTACGATTGAAAGCTCACCTAAAAAAAGTGCAAAAGGAAAAATGGTGATTGGGGTTGAAATAAGCATAAAATAGAGACCAAAAGTAGGAAAAAATATATTACTTTTTTGTACATCGCCTGAATTGAGATCGCTTTTTGGGATGCTTCATCATTTCTTTTGTGCTGAAGATTCAATCTTTGGTAGCGGATGGATGTAAACAAGATGTGTGAGTGGGTCTATGTGTGTGACGGTGTGTGATGTAGAAATTGATAGAGAACATAAAGGAGTAAACGTTAGATCTTTGCGCTTACATTGCTCTCATGAAATTTTTATATAAACACTTAAAGTGAGTCTCATTAATATTGGATTAAAAACTAGTCCATTGTCCAAACATAAAAATTTATTTTACTATTTTGTACTAGTACTAGGGAATTCATATCAAAATTGAAAAAGAAAAATAAACAAAACATTATTCCAGTAGACAAGCAACAGTTCAAAAAACATCGCGTCATTAATATTGGTTTTTTTTTTTTTCATATAAGGAAGGATAAGAAGGTAAAACTCAGCATATTATCAAAAATTAAAATTTGGTGAGATATCCTTTTTCCTTAATAACGTCATTTAAACGTTTGGACAAATTTTGTATAATTGTTCCTGTGTGGAAAATAGTGATCCTACCCCATTCCTAATATAGACTGTTTTTCAGGTCTTGGACGTTAGGAATTGAGTGCTTTCGCACATGGCGGTGCAACTCATCCCACAGTTTGAGGGGATTCATGTCTGGTGATATGTGGAAGAGGTTAAAGCCCTTTGGTGCAGTTGTATAAGAGCCGATCTTAAATTAAGCGGGACTTACGCTTGATGTCGTTGCTTGGTAAAATCTAAATGTTTCCAAAGTACCAAGTTTTTCCACTCTTTCCTGCAGTATTGTTAACAAAGTCCTCCTTGTTTACAATGTCATCCATAAACATCAATTTTCCGATTCCATTGGCCCAATTCATGCCCACACTATAACGTGACCATTGCCATTCAAACGAGTGCGCCTTAGATATGCGCTCGCGATCATTTTGGTACAGGCCTTGTTATCTTAAACACTTATCGTGCGAAGGGTGTTTGCTATTTATAATCGAACATTTGATTTTATTACCATAAACAAATTGATTTGAAAAAGTTTTCCTTAGAGGCTGTCATGATACATAAATGTATACGTATATATTGATGTTTCCAGTGTGTATCTGAAGTATTGTAAATTTTAATTGAACGATATGGCACGTGCTCGCATACACTCATACAAATTTTTGTTTTTTTCTATGTTCTCTTTAATTCAATTCAAACAATTTCCATTCTATTGCGATTAACGTGGTGATAGTGCAAGACAGGGGCGAATTGCATATAAGTCGTACGTGAAACGTTTCATGCCATTTAGGTGTGAAGAATGATAATGAAGTCAGGCATAAAGACAACGATGCGAATTAATGTTTAATTCAATATTTTTACCAAATTGTCTCTCATCCATAGAATCAAATCTAAAAATTATTGATGATTTTCCTTTTCGATTTTTGTCTTTTTTTTACATTTCCCCAATACGAAATAAACCCAATGCTTGAAAAACAGTAAATTTGATGAGAATCGTACGCTGATCAAAAATATAGTTTATATATCTAATGGGATTTTTGATGCGTTTCTCTAGTGCGAATGTATAAAAAAAAAAACACTCACAAATTATTTGAAATATAAAATAATGATTTTTCATTTAATTAATTCAGAAATTATTTTTATTTTTTTTTTTTTAAGAAATTTTTACAAGTCATCAAAGGATTGCTTCTTAATTAATTATGATAAGAAAATCAATCTTTTTAAAAATGTGATTTTTTTTTGTAAATTTACGGATAAATTTGAAATTTGCAAAACAACAAAAAACAAAATTCCTTTGCACGTTGATTCTGTTTGGATTGGTTCACAGAATGCTCATAACGTACATACGGACAGATATATCGATGGATAAGCGAGTGGACAAATCAAGACGGCATATTCTTTCTTTGTAGGTCTCCCTCTTGGCAAATGTTTTTCCAACAATTTGAAACTTTCAGTGCTTTATCCGATCTTTAACAGGCCTGGTCAGTTATTGCAGAATTTTTCTATTGAATATACAGGTCATTTTTATAATTTGTATCTACTATAGCTTAGGAATAATAGGCAACAAATCCATTTATTTTTGCAGGTTATAGGGCAGACGGGTCTTTCAGTCAATTTATTTGAACTATGTAATTCTTTCTTAAAATATCTTTTAATTAGGATTTTATTATGGATGGACATTCAATTAAATGGACGGATCTGTGATGAATGAATGTTTAAATCGATATTTTTTAGTTATATCTGAATATTTAAAAAGTACTTTAAGTACGTGAGCATCGTGCGGTGCAGACTAAATTTTCGCATGCATTCAATTCAACTTAACGTCATCGAATAGATTGCTTTTTTCTTTTTGTTTTTTTTCTATTTCTATACTTTCTTCAAGCGGTTTCGGGGGTGACTCAATATTTTCTTTTTATTCGTTAATAAAAATTTGTCTGTTTGTTTGGGTTGTTTAAATAATGATGATTCATTTTGAGTGACAGCAAATGTTTTATTAAGAAACTTTAATGACTATCTGCGTGCGCGTGTGTGTGTGTGTGTGTATGTGTGTAAAAGAATAACGCTTAAATTGTTTTTGTCTCTTTCGATTTTTAATTTTATTAATATTTGCGCACCTGTGTGTACACAAATGCCCGCTTATACCGTGTTTATGAAAATTTATTTAAATTTTTCTTTTTAGTATTATCACTACGCCAATTTTTTACTAAAAAGAAGAGGGAAATATAAGAAAGACGAGTCGTCTGTAATATATTGAAGTTAAGCCAAAATTGTGCAATTAAAATGTTGACTGATAAGCGCTTGCATTTAAAGCTGGCGCTAGCTGTCTTAGCCACGTGTTATGTACTATCCACCGAAGCGCAATTAGCCGCTAAACTTATACAAAATCCTTGTGTCAATAAAGGCAATTGCCACGAATGCATTCAAACGCAAAGCTGCGCCTGGTGCATGCGGCCCGATCATGGTGATAAGCCGCGATGCTTTCAGCATAGTTATTCAAATATTTGTCCCGAAGAGTACATATGGAATCCGGATACCGAACAAAAATTCATTATAAATCGTGAATTAACTCGTGCCGGTCAAATGTCTAGTTTCGGCGGTGGCCAAATGTCTTATGGCGGTTCATATTATGCCAACTCTTCATATAGCAGTTCCGCTTCCGGTTCATATTCCGGATCATATGGTGCGGCAGGCTCAGCTGGAGCTTACGGCAGCGCCAGTTCAAGTGGCGAAATTGTGCAAATTAGTCCTCAACGTGTAGGACTGAAATTACGCATTAGTATGTATCTTTGTCTTTGCTTATCCACTTTAATTGTGTTTCGTTTAATTATAAAAAAAAAAAAAAACAAAAAAAAGTAATAATAATAATAATAAATATTTCTAATTTACCCAGATCAAGTTCACAGCTTACATATGCGTTATTCACAAGCCGAAGATTATCCGGTCGATTTATATTATCTTATGGACTTGTCAAAGTCAATGGAAGACGATAAAGAGAAATTATCTGCTTTGGGTAATTTATTGTCAGAGACGATGCGTAATATAACATCAAATTTTCGTTTGGGTTTCGGTTCGTTTGTGGATAAGGTGTTGATGCCCTATGTATCGACTATACCTAAAAAGTAAGTAATACGTCATTTAAGATAATTCCCTTCCATTCTAATAATTATGATTATTTTTTTGCAAATACTTTATTTGATTTAAGTTTATATATTTAACTTTATAGTTAATAGTTAAAGATATTTTAGATTACATCCTACAGATTTATATTTAATATATTTACGTATGCCATTATATTTATGTTTTTTTTGGGGCTTAAAGAAATAACAGTACAATGTCTAATGTCTAAGGAAAAGTTTAATTTCCGCTTTCTCAAATGTGCACGACAGTTGAGTCTAGAGTTGGACTGATCGGCCATAAGTTTCTAACGCTTAGTTATTTCCTTCCTGAGTCCTGAAACGAACTTTTGCCATAGGCTTAACATAGTTAGGCACCAACTCACTACATTACTTCTCTGGCCTCTCAATGACTTACAGATCGAGAAGTCTGTAAGTAGACGGGTCCTGATTCGGTCCTGTCGTCTTCTCACCGGTAGCATCTTATTGCAGTCAAAATAAAACTTTGTCATAATGTGTTTTATTGCTCTGCTTGACATTCGCATGGGGAGGTAAGAAAACATTACAGTCTGCTGCAAAAAAACTCGAATCTGACTTAAGTGTAGAATAATTTACGCCGATCCATCTTGGTTATCTGTTATCCTTTTTTAAATTGTATACTCATTTCTTGAGCTGCAATCTTTTTCTTTTTCTTGGAAATAGAAGATAAGTAATAAAGACAGAAATTTGAAAAAAAACATCCATAGAAGCGAGTGGGTTGCCAAACTTAGTATGCTTAGAAAGAGCCATACTAATTTAGTAGGATACTTATGATCCCTTTACGAACAGCAGCTACCAACTTACGTAATTATAAAGCATTCAGATAGGATTTCAGTAAACTTGAGTTGCTCGAGGTGAACAGTTTCTAACGTATTGGACGCAGTGGGGAGCCGTCATAGTTTAAACGTGTATATACCGTTACGCCGATTATAAAAAGGACAACAGTAAAAAAGTAAAAAAAAGCGAAGCGGGTAAAAAAACCTTTTTCTAAGATATTACGGTTGTTCTAAAGGAATACAAGATTAATCGGTTGCCATGTTCTGATACATTTTTATACCTGTTAACTTAAATATTACTTTTTATTATGTTAGAGACAGGTCGATTATCGATTCGCTGTAACGAGTAGTGAATTTATAGCTGCCGATAAAGTATGCATCAAAGATCGAAACATCCTTCGATCTTAAAATATTTGCATGTGCTACTCAATACTCAATAGCATATGCATAATAGGATCGAGTGAACTCGATATTGATAGCTACAATCCCACTCTCACATGGTAACGAGTTAATAATGCGAAAAGTAAGCCACAAAAACAAGTACATAGATTATGCAAGAGTATCAATAGGGGAAAAGGTGACGACAGTGTGATGGGGAAAAAAAATCAATTTAAGAAAATCGTTATTAAGAGTACCAAGCAAAAAAAAATCTACCGACTTATTTAGATTAGTAGTCCAGTCATCTCGAAATTATGTTAAATTTGTGTTCAAATGGATTCGGAAAGTTTCTAAAGCAAAGTCAACTCTTTGACATCTGTTAGCTCGAAGAAGATTTTAATTGTAAAGCAACAGAAAAAAATGAGACCGAACCGGAAGGAAGGAGGAGGACCGCATCATATCAATTTGAGACTTGGTTGGTGGTGGAATACATTAACTCACAGGCCGTATACATATGTTGGACTTAACTGGACCACTTGAGACGCAAGTTAATAAACAAAACATTTTTAATATTAGGTGTACAAATAAATCCCTCCCGCTAAACTTGGTTGCTTCGAATGTATATGAAGCGTGCAATTCTCCCATAATTTCAGGCATAGACAACCTAAACACTAATGTCTGAATGGTGTAAATCCGATTTGTTTACAAGTTGTCATTCAGTGTATATCAAAGCTTAAAGAGATGAATGTCATTTATGGGTTAATCTGGAGAAAAAATGCAGCTAACGCTGGCAAAATGAGTAAATTGGCTTGGAATGAAAGTGTAGTAAACTACAAAATAGTTAGAAAGTAGCTTGCGAGATTTTGCCCAAACAAATTTTCGCAATAAAAACAATAAAAAGTTCGAATACGTCCTTCCGTCTTCCGCAAAAGCAGAAGAGAGAAATTGAGAAGTTTTACCGTATCCAGGGGTATTCTCCAGACCTGGAAGACTATAATTAACAGTTATGCATATTTCGATTGTTAAGCTTTGCAGTTCAATTGTATGAAAATTTCAGTGTCAGGAATTTATTTGTACACCTGTTATTAGTATAAAAATTTTAATTTCGCATTATTAACCGTCATATCAAACGTATTAAACGCATATGAAGACGAATGTATTTTATCTTATTTATTATTTTCTTTTTTATAATAATTCAACAATTTTTTGATTCATATATTGATTTGTTTAATGTTTTTTTTATTTTTTTATATATGTTTTGTTATTTTCTCGGTTATTACAACAATTTTTTCTCGTTAACATTTACTAACAAATTATTGTTAAAAAAAAAAAAAAACCAAAAAATCCCTAAATATTTGCCAATGTATTCAACAAATTATGAAAAAAAAAAAAAAAAACAACAGACTTGAACATCCCTGTGAAGATTGTGAAGCTCCTTATGGTTATCGCAACCATATGCCCTTGAGCACTGATACTTCAACATTCACTGTAAGAATTAAAAACATATTTTCTCTCATTTATTTTTAATTTTTGTTTTTTTTTTTTTATCTCATTGCATTTAAATATAGACATTCTCTCTCTCTCTCTCTCTCTCTCTCTTTCTCTCTCTCTCTATCTATTTCTATAATTAATTAATGTACGCGAGCAATAGTATTCATTTCATACACTAACGCTTACACCAACATTTGTCATTTCATATTTGTGTTTGCTTTCGATTTTTTTCGTGTTTCTATATTATAAATATCCTAAAGAGAAAGGGAAAAAATAAAAGACCGGAAAAAGCTCCTTAATTCGCCTTGAAGCGAATTTTGGTTACCCACCATCGCAAGGTTATCTGCAAATTTCGATCGCATTATTAGACCTAACGTGATTACATTCGCAAAATGGCAATGACAAGCCTTTGCATTTAGCTTTAGTTCAAACAGCTGCCGTAAATTGTAACGTTTTCGACATTTATGGTATTTCAAGAAACTTTCTCTTCTTGGTGCGTTCATTTTGAAATTACACTCACGTTATGTGCACTTTCAATCTTATCCTAAGCATAAGTTTTGAGACTAGTCTTAGAACAAACTTTATCTCCGTTACGAATCCTGTGATCCGTAACAGATCACAGATATCGCCAGCTGGTAATCTTAGATATAAATAATCAGGAAATCCAAGTTCAAATTGCAAATGCTTATCGCGATCGGATTTGAATTAAAATTATTGTTTATTACTACCTTGTGACGGTGCTGGGTATTTGCAAAAAAATCTGTTTATAGCTTTTTGCGCTAAATTTTGTTATAATTTTAAATATCTTCATTTAATTTTTGTTGGCTTGCAATGCCTTATCTTTTGTGGACTTGTTTCTATTTGTGTTATAATAACGTATGCGGCTTTTTGTATATATTTCTTATTCTATGCTGTGATATATGTGTGCATTTGTTCTTTATTGATTATTATTATTATTATTATTATTATTATTGTTAACTAGAATACATTCTTAGCATTACCCCACCGGTATTGTGTTATAAATAAAACAAATGTTAGTACTTAGTTGTATTATTATGTTAAAAAATTCGAAACTGGTAAGATAATCATAACATAGTCATATGGTGTTGTCTTATACTTTAAATACTGCAATACATATCAATCGTATACTCAGTCTATCCGTATCACTATTTACTTAGTTATTATCATATAATTTTAAGTTTTTTTTTTTTCTCAATTTTTTGTTTTAAATAATTTTATACAATTTTTTTTCCTATTCTTATTGTTATTATTATTTTTCTTATTATTCGTTTATACGTCATTTAAAGTTTATTTTAAAATTGTTCTTTTCTTTTCTCTTACATTTCTTTGGCATCTTTGTTGTTGTTATTCCATAATAAACATCTATTGAAACATTTTTTGTATCTAAATTCACATCTCTAAACATATCTACTTTCTCTATACATATATTGTAATAACTATTCTTAAAATACGTACATAAAAATATACAAAAATTTAAAACAAAAAAAAAAAAAAAAATCATTAGCATGATCGAACCTTGTCCGGGCTGTGCTGCACCTTATGGTTATCGTAATGCCATGCCTCTAAGCACGGACACGTATCGTTTTTCAGTAAGTTATTATCGTTGTTGCTGTTATTGTTTTCGTTATTGTTGTTGTTATTATTATTATTATTATTATCGTTATTATGCATTTTCATTTTCTTATTAACCTTGTTGTTACATAAACAAATTATTTATTTACATTTTTTTGGTTTACTTTGGTTTGCATGTTTAACTTTCAACTATTACGCCTGCCGCCTACTTACATATCCTTCTCATTGTTGTCATTGTAGGAACCATTAATTATTCAATTCATGTTTTATTTTTTTTTTCTCTCTCTCACTCTCTCTATCTATCTCTCTATCTCTCTCTCTCTCTTTGTTTTCTTTTAAATGGTACACTTTACTTACTAGACATGTTCAAATTGTATTTTAATTTTTTTTTTATTTTTTCAATTTGTAAATGTATTTTGTTTTTTTTTTTTTTAAGAGTATATTTAAAAATCTTTGCAAATTTTGAAAATCTCTTTATTCGCCCCGCGGAGGATACAGGCATAATTATTTCTTTCATCCCATACATACCGTCAAAAAAAAATATATCAAAACTGGCACATTTTCTAGTTGGATTATTACAAGATAAAGGAACATTCGCCCGCACTATATCTTTCAAATTAAGGGGGCTTAGACGACCATTGTGCGTTTTTCAAAATATCAATTGATTTTGTGTTGGCCATCAATACTCAAGCCTCGCGTAAAACGACAATGATGGCCGTGGCAAAATTTTAAATGGTCGAAAATTTTGATTTTTTAAACCCATTCGTTCGGAAGTATACGAACACGTACACTTTAAAAATTTTGAAAAATCGTAAACACAACTCAACAACAACTTTCGTTTTTCTCATTCAAATTTTGTACAGTGGCGTTAAAACAACTTTCTCCAGAGAAATATTTGGATGTTATTTTTATTTTTTTTTAATTAAACAATTAAAAATACGCGTCAATCATACAAAATCAATATTTTTTGGAATTCATTACTAGATATAGGAATGTAAAAGGTGTACAAATCAATTCAACTTCATTCAAAACATGCTTAATAATTGATATAGATATCATCATCATCTACGATCGCTTGTCATTTATCAGGTAGATCATGGATGTTGTCGCGATAGAAACTAAGGAATTTGAAGGCGAAATACCCATAGAGGCATTTTCGCATATCTTCAACTTTTGTGAACCGCTGACCAGCTAAATATGACTGCATTGACCTGAATAAATAATAGTTGGAAAGGGGCCTAAATCTGCCGCAGGGTGATGTAAAATTTCTCAGCTGAAGTTAAAAATTAGTTTCTGGGTTGCTTTTCCTGAAGACGTACGCACCTACGCAAATAATTAATTTTGAACTGTTTAGCTTATTGTGTTTTCATTCCAAATTCATTAAATGTTTGCCGCAGAGTCCCTTACAGTAATAGTGTTTTGCGAAAATGGTTTCGGTATTGCCATTTTTTAATATTTTTCAGAAATAATTTACTTTTTTAATACTTACAAATACGCCCGATAACCTCGTCCGAATATTTTTATTTCGCTAACTCTTTTGCGCAGGCTCTTACAGTCATCTAATTGGTTAAGTAAGATAAGTCAGTTTTTCCGCAAATGTTTTTTATTAGGTATAAAGCTCTCGCAGCCTTTGTTGTCAGAAAAAGTCTTTTTACTTTGCGATATTGTTGTTGGTATTAGGGACAGGTTATTGGGAGAGGAAGTCCAAGCAATTAAAAAACTTCAGATATGTGTATGACGCACGCCATTAGTATCAACCGCAAGCGACATTCGCAGCAAACCATATCGAAGTCCGATTTCGAAAGCTCGTCATATACGGCAGATTATTGTTGGGCTTCCTTATCCAAGAAATTTTATGGACATGAATTTCAACATCAACAAGCACGAAATCCGTGACAGTACTAATATACTAAGTGTATTTTTATCAAGCTTTTAAGTCTGATGTCAGCACACAACATCGTGTAGGTGACAAGTGAAGAAAAGATGTTTTATTAGATACGTGCGGCTTTGTTACTTCCTGATCGGCATGTTTTTGTCGATTTGTTTGCGAGACGTGGAAAGGGGAAATTCTTTCCTGATTTTCTTGGCTCTTTCAGACACGAAACTCAGCCCGATATTCGCACACACGGAGCGCTACTTAAAATGATGTAAACGCTGGGATAATTGTGAGAAACTATGAGTAACTGATTCTTACAGAATTTGTAAATTCAACTGAGACTATTGCGATTTGCCGAAAGCCTTTTTTTCACATTTATTGTACCTTAGACGGGCGGGTGTTAATAAAGAGATTCCGCCTAGTATATTATTGTTGTTATGTATGTATAGCATAGCATACATATTGTTGTTTTCAATTAATAGAGATCGGCACAGAATGACTTAAAGAAAAAATTTTTGTTTTAAAAAACTCTTGTTTTGTTCAAAATAGTTCGTTAAACTTGATTAATCGCAAAGTTTTGTTTCAATCCTACTAAATTTTGAATTGAAATTTTTTTCGTTAACACAAGAAGTGTACCATTTATTTTTTCCTTATTCAATAAGTAATTAAAAAAAAATTATTTTAAAATATTTATAAATTGTTCTCTCATGTATTAAAAAAATATTTTGAAAATATTTAGTCCGAAGTGAAAAAAGCGGCAGTTTCGGGTAATTTAGATGCTCCTGAGGGCGGTTTTGATGCTATTATGCAAGCGATAGCTTGTCGCCAGCAAGTAGGTTGGCGTGAGAAGGCGCGTCGTTTATTGGTATTCTCGACTGATGCCGGCTTCCATTATGCCGGTGACGGCAAGGTATATTTGATAATATGATAATAATTTTGTTAAATTTAATTAATGACGTATGCCTTTTATTTAGTTGGGCGGTGTTATTGCCCCCAATGACGGTGAATGCCACTTGAATTCCGAGGGACTATATACGCATTCTGTAATTCAAGATTATCCGAGTATATCGCAAATTAACCATAAAGTTAAACAAAACTCAATAAATATTATATTTGCTGTTACGTCCAGTCAGCATTCGGTTTATGAGAAACTCTCTCAGCATATCGAAGGATCGTCGAGTGCTATACTATCGAATGACTCTTCAAATGTTGTCGATTTAGTTAGAGAGGAATATGGAGTAAATTATTTTAAGAATTATTTATTCGCTGGCAAAATATTGACTAATATTTGTTTTTACTTTCATTTTTTTTAATTTTTTTTTTTTATAGAAAATATCTTCCTCTATTGAAATGAAAGACAATGCGACTAGTCATGTCAAAATTACTTATCATTCTACTTGTTTGAATGGCGGTTCGGAAATACCCACCTCGAAATGTGACGGCCTTAAAGTAGGCGATGTAGTTAATTTCACTGCCCAAATTCTAGTGACTTCTTGTCCGGCCGATCCTGCCGAATGGAATCAAATTATACAAATTTATCCGGTGGGCATTAACGAGAGTTTAATTATCGATTTGGAAATGCTATGCTCTTGCCCCTGCGAGCAACCCGGCTCAATTGGTTATGAAGTCAACTCGCCACATTGTAATAATTTCGGAACTTATATGTGCGGTATTTGCGAATGCGATGAAATGCATGTTGGGGACAATTGCGAATGCTCCACCACTGATGTGCACTCAGATAAAGAGGGTGATTTAAATTGCCGGGCCGATAACACCACGCAAGTCGATTGTAGTGGCCGTGGTACATGCTTATGCGGCGTTTGTGATTGCGAAAAGCGTAGCAATCCGGAAGAGATTATATCGGGACGGTTTTGCGAATGCGATAATTTCTCTTGTGAGCGCCATAAGCAGCTATTATGCTCTGGCCCCGATCATGGCGTATGCGAGTGCGGTGTTTGTGTATGTAAGCCGGGTTGGACTAGATCCGCGTGTGATTGTCAGGCCTCAAATGATACATGTATACCACCAAATGGTGGCGAAATTTGCTCGGGCCATGGTGATTGCGAGTGCGGTGTATGCAAGTAAGACTTGAAAACTTTTAACAGAAAATACGTCAATCGTTACAAAATTATTCAATTAAACTTCGATTGATCTATAGGTGCCGATCTACGGAAGAAGGTCGCTATTCAGGCAAATATTGTGAAAAATGTCCGACATGTTCGGGCCGCTGTCATGAGCTTAAAGACTGCGTTCAATGCCAAATGTACAAAACTGGCCCTTTGAAGGATGAAAACGATTGTGCTACGAATTGTACTAATTTTACACCGATTGCTGTCGACAAAGTCGTTATCAATGAAACAAAAGATGAACTCCTATGCATGTTCTACGATGAAGATGATTGCAAATTTACCTTTAAATATAGCGAAGCTGATGATAAAATTGAAGTGCATGCCCAGCAAGAACGCGAATGTCCACCGAAAGTGTTTATGCTGGGAATTGTGTTGGGCGTTATTGCTGCAATAGTTTTAGTTGGTCTCGCCATTTTATTGTTATGGAAACTTCTAACCACTATACATGATCGTCGGGAATTTGCACGTTTCGAAAAAGAACGCATGAATGCCAAATGGGATACGGTAAGTGTTTGAATTTGAATTCATATATATATATATATAAACGGATATATTAAACAGATATGAAAATTTTTTTAGGGTGAAAATCCAATTTACAAGCAGGCAACTTCAACTTTCAAAAATCCCATGTATGCCGGGAAATAATTCGGGGCTGGCTTTCCAGAAACTTGAGTAAACGTGAATTTTTCCTAGAAAATCATTAAAATAAGAATAACAATGACCACATGTTCTGTTTCTTTTTTTTTTTTTTTTTTTTTTTTAATAAAAGTGTTTATATAACAACTGCCATTTACCGCGATAAATCGACGAACAACAAACAATAAATTAAAAATAAAATACATTTTTTATTTTATTGTTTTTTTTTATAATTGATTAATATTCTAAATGTGGAAAGAGAAGAAAAGAGAAAAAAAAATGTGCCTAACAAACCATAAGGGTCTGTTATATATATATATATTCTAAAACATAAATATATTTTTGTGTATTTAACATTAGTATTTATAATTAAAGGTTTACTTTGTTAAAGAAATTACTTTAAGATTTTTATCTAAAAAGCAAGATTAAAACAAATTTAATTAAAACACTAAACATAAAAAGAAAAACGCAACAATTTTGCAATATTTGCCCCAAATATAGAAAAAGTAAATTTTTTTTTTTTAAAATTATTTATTAAAAAATAATTATCTTAAATATTTGTATTTATTAAGATTCTCTCAACTTAATTTTTTTTTTTTTTTTTTTATATTTATGTATATAATTTAAGTGTAAAAGTTTTAATTGCCTCGTGTGTGTGTTTTATATTAATCAATTTGCAATTTTTTATCTTGTCTTGTGTTATTGTTTTTGGCATTTTTTTAACTTTGTACATTTTTATTTTATTATTAAATATATAAAATTTGAACTGATTTATAAAATATATAAACGATATAAAGTAATAAAAAAGAAAAATTATTTTATGAATTTATTATATTTAAAAAAAATATATTATATTTTATAAAATTTGTTTTTTTTTTTTTTAGAAATAAATCATTAACATTAATATTATATTAATATCAAAACGAATTGATTCATTTATGCAATAATATGCTAGACAAGACTGTTAGAATTACATTTATAATATCTATTCTGGCAAGGACCACATCACATACATATTTTCTTTGATTATTTATCGAAATTTGGCATTTGCTAAAACGAATTTCTATATCTTTTCCATAACAAGTCAACTGTCTCCTTAAGATTATAATGAATGAGTCAGTCAATTGCCTTTTCCTATTTTAAAAATCATTATTCATACATATAACCAGGAGGAATTTCTTAAACATCAAATTGAAAGCGTCTCGCGGATGGACTATAAATTTGACAATGTTTGGGATGGAAATCTTGTTTCTTATCTCTTGAAAAAGTAGTTCTAAGAAAGTACCATGTTTGTACACCTAGCAAGACTGAACATCCGAAGGCTATTTAACGACTGCTACAGATTATATCCAACCTTTCGAAGGAAAAGAGGGGATCATTACTCTCAAGATATTTTAATGTGTTCACTTGGATGCATTGTAAAATATTGGTCCGCGACGATGAGGCTTTTGCGAATGCGATGTCGCTTGTGAGCGCCGCAACCAGTCATTATGCTCTGTCCTTGATAATGGCGTATGTCAGTGTGCGGTGCGGTGTTTGTGTATGTAAGCCTAGTCCCACTACGGCAAGAGTTAGAATGGAGATCTGCCTATAAAACTATAAAAGCAAAATATACAAAATTATTAAATATATAATCAAATATATAATCAAATAAAATATACACAAAGGTAAAAATAAGAAAACAAAACATATAAAAATAATAAAAAAACGCGAAATGTCTATGGAAGAAAATATTCTTTACATTTCCTCCTTTTCGCTTCCTGTTGGGTCGACGCAGGAGAGGGGCGTCCTTCGCTGTATTGGAATTTCTGCTTCGTAGGCATTACCGAAAAGGCGTAAACTCTTTTTCAGGGTCTTCGCTGTCTATGATGTTGTTTTCACCGTTGCCGTGGCTGTCCCTGTCGTTATACTTTTTCGTTCTGCTAACGTATGAGTTTGCGGCGGATAATTTTGTTGATAACGGTACGCTTCTCACCAAATTGCCTTAATTCTGCAGCTACTTCTGTCACTTTCATGCTACACTCTTCTAGTAAATTATCCAAACTGTTCGCTACTGCCCGATTTCATTTTTTCAAAATTTTTTCTTGTTTAGGTTACGTTCGAAGTTTTTGTTTGAATGAAAAATTACTTGAAAACAACAACAAATGAAGTGAAAGCAAAAAGTTTTTAAACATTTTTTTCTTCAGTTGGGGAAACGAATCAAGATGTTGCCGTAGCTAGTAAAGGCCAACTTACCAACTCGGTTAACAGAACTCCGTAAACGCTCTACGAGAGCTTTGTTAAGTGTCAAGGATCAAGAGATGGTTGAACTTGAAAGCTTATTCCATCAAAATTAAGGAGTAGTTAAGATCTTTTTGTGAACACCTCATAAATCTGACTGTACCATCACTATCACATTCATCATCTAAACTTTGCCTGAATATTAACTATATAACCTGCCGATGATAAAGACAAATTCTTCTCGCTTTGCTGTTTTTTTTTTTTTTTTGGCGAAGCAATCCGAATTATATTGCTTTTCAAATAGAATCTATAAAGAATCCATAAAATTATAATAATAATTATTGAAAATATTATTATGAATTGATAAGAGGTGGAATGGAATTCCACTTTAATGGAATGCAATTTCTCTTTTCTTGCAGTTTTTATGGTAAATCTTGAGCACACACACACACGCACACACACACACACACACATAGAGGAAATTATCTAACGAACTAGGGGAGTCTAGCATTTTGTAAGAAATGGGTTCGTTTCACTAAAAGATGTAAGACATTTTTCTCAATGATCGTCGTTTTATTCAATTTATTGAAAACTTTCAATGAATTTTATATCAAGCCCTTACAGGACGTTTCTAAAGAAATATATGTATGCTAGAGATAAATTTAAAGATGAAGTAAACATAAACTCAGAAAAGAAAATGAATTGTTATTGTTTTTGCAATGTGAACAATGTGAAAATTTAAATCTAATTGAATATTAAATCGGCGTCGGGTGCCCCTTTTTGGTGTTTAAATTTCGGTTTGGTAGGACGCGCATAAGGATCGGGCAAGGAGTTTCGCTGAGTTTGCATTAACGAGTCTTGATAGTCTTCCTCCTCAATTCGCTCAGTTATATTTAAAGTTAAACGTTTAACGCGTTCCTTCTCCTCGCGTATTTTTTCTTCTTCTAATTTCAGATTTATAGCCAATTGAGAATCTGAAGGAGCAGTAAATTGCTTAAATTGCTGTTTTCCACCCTTGCCTCCGCGCACCATTAAAACAAATGGGACGGCGCTATTGTTGTTGTTATTTTTTGTATCAACACCGGACATCGATTGCGTGCCAGCTGCTCCAGCCGTTATTTGATCATACGACTTTTTTGTGTTTCTGACCATCATAGGAACGGGAATATCTTTTGTATTTGGTTTAACATTGTCTTTAAGACGTTCTTGATAGCTGTCTTGGGCCATTTTCTCAAACATTTGCTCAAATTCTAAATCTTCCTTGGATTTTTCCACTACCTTAGGTTCATCATCTGCCATATATTCGTTTTCAGTCCAATCGGTTGTATTGGCCGGATTAGTGGCGTCATCATCGTTGTATTCTCATCGTCGTCGTCTTCATCTTCAACATCTTCGTACTCTTCTTCTTCACCCGGAGTTTTGCGCGATCGTCCGGCATCCAGCTCCGAAGAAGAATCATTACTAGGCTTTAGGATTAATAATAAATACATGTTTTTTAGGATTATGCATAAATATTATGAACTAGTCAAATTTCTTACCCGATCATCTAATTCGCTGTCCTCTGGTATTGCAGGGAGACTTACAGCTTCATTACTCGCCCTAAGTTTGTTTAGTTCTTCTAATCGAGGATAAAGCTTAGCTTTAAGTTTATTAATGGCTTCTTTGGCTTCTTCGAGATTTTTGTATAATTTCAACTTTGGACTAACGTTAGTCAAACAGTCGCGATACATATGATCTACCAATATAGGGAACAAATCATGGGTATCTTCTACTTTACTAAAGATTGGATTCGACTTTTTAAACCAATAATAATGTTGAAAAAATACCAAGAAATAATTTAATCTGAAAGAGATGGATATATATATATATATTTAAATAGTTTGTAAACTTAAACTGATTACAAATAACTTACTTGCGTTTGTTGGTAAAAAACGGACCGCAGGTATCTAATAATACACAAGCTAACTTCAAACGAAATAAACTATCTGGCGGATCTAATTCTGATATTGCACCGTCTTCCATAGTGACACCCAGCGAAATTATAGAATACAGGGTATTAAGTATATTAGTGGAGTCGACCAATTTATAATTATATAATTCTCCCAAATACTTGGCCATAGCTATACGTCGTTGAGCCAGTTTAAGCGAATGAATTTCCAGGCCAGTTCTGATATCCTCAAAGACGTTATCCACCACCATAGTTACGGTCCTTTCTTGATAGGAACTAAGACCTGATACCAAATCTGCCAGGCAACGTATCAAAGGAAAACGCAGCAAATACGCTTTAGACATGCATTTAATCGCGTAATTGCTAACAGCCGGATCGTGCCAATTTATACGTCGGATCATTTTAATGCAACGATCAACATTTTGTTTGTTTAACTCTTGGAATATCAAATGCCTGATGTATTCTTGTATCGCTGGTCGAAGTATAACGTCTTGTTTAACAGTTTCCGGCGGCTTAACCAGATAGTAAACGTTTTCAATTTGGGCGGCATGGCGCGAGTCTAGGGCAGTAACCGTTTTTAAACGCAACATTTGATCCAGAAAAGAATTCATAAGCCAACGCGAATCTTTGAAATTATATAAGTAGACACCGGCAACTTCAATAAAGGCACAGGCCATTTCAATATGATGATGTTGGAAGTCTCTAAGCAGGATTTTCAAGCAGCTAAGAGCATCGAATTTTTTATATAAACCAAATTTAACCATTTCTCCCATAAAACGAACAACTTTGATTTTTGATTCAATATTAAATTGATTTTTCATTCGTACGTGCCATTTGAACTCCTTACGTAGTAGTTCCGATAAATCTAAAGCTACATCGGTATGACAGAGATTGACGATCGCTACAAATCGTGAAAGAAATGGCAATAGATCCCAACGTGTTCTGTTAAAGCAATATGTTTATAAATAATGAAAAACTTCCGAAAAAATTTTGTTTCGCTATGGGTTTTAAAAAATCCTACCCACCTGTGTACGGATATTATTGATTTTGTCAATTTCTTTCGATTATTTTTTGTATTATAAGTCAACAGAAACTCTATGGCCGCAGAATCGATCAATTCTTTATTCACGCAATTGTTCAAATTAATTAAAAATTGATCGAAATGCTGTTTTGCAGTCTTGCCACTTATACTTCCGCTACGACTAGAATCTTTTGATGTTGTCGTCTTATCGCTTTTTTCTTTTATATTTATTTCTTCTTGTTCAGTTATTTCTTTTTCATTGCCCGGATCCGATGCAATTGAAGGCGGATCATCTAGATCGATATCGTTTTCTATGTCAGCGAGTAAAGCTTCTTCAGTCATTATGGTTGGTTCTTCAATCTGTGCAGGATCCACTTTGGGTGCTGAAAAATTCGGTAAAAACTGCCTCAAATCCGGTAAATCGGTATAAAAATTTTTAGTTTCCTCGTCACGCCAAGGGTCTAATTCACCCACTGTTAAATTTTCCATTATAGTTTCAATTGGATTACCGGAACTAACATTTTCAGTTTCTACAGCTAATTCAGGCAATGACTCATCCAAAAGATCTGATAACAATTGACCCGAAGACAATAGCTTATCAAAATTAGCCTGCTTTAGTTCACATTTCTCCTTGGATTTATTAGAAATCTCCCCTGAGTTGGATTATTTTAAAAATGTGAATACATTTTTCGATAAAATCACAACACTTACCTTTAGAAGCCATTGAGATTTTTAAATTATTTTTCATATTTATCAATTGGGCTTGTTCGCTTAATAAATGCTTACAAAAGTTTTTAAAATAATCCTTTAGAAGATTGCGTAAATTTTGCTGTTTATCTGGAGTTAAGAAATCCGACTTGGGTATGGTTTGCTGGTCATGCTTTTGCGACAAATCGAGCATACGGCGTGGCACGAGACCGGCGTATTCTTCACCACAATGACGGCAAAATGATAGAATTATGGATAAATTGCTATAATCTTCTTTATCTTGCGATATAATAGTTGTTAAAACATTTCCTAATAGACCCAGACCTTGTTTGCTATTGATCACACCGGAACTTACCAGTTCAGCGAAAAGTCTTAAATCTACACGCAATTTACTAGGATTGCTAAATTTCTCACCGGGCTTTAATAATAAAGTTTTCTGCCAAGCTTCAAAAAACTCATTGTCAAATTCATCATAGGTTTGATGCAATTTGGAGCACAATATCACCACAGCTGTCACATCAGTCATTTTAATTTTTGCCTCAGATAAAGCAGAACAAATTTCTGATATATACTTGGTCAAATTAAGACTCTTCATGTCCTTGAGTAACGCTTCCAACTGGGCGGCTGTAAATTGTTTCAGTTTCTTTACAAAAGCCGTATTACGCTTTAAGTTTGAATCCAATTTGGCAAAATAACCATCATCGGGTAACTCAAATTTGGTATTTTCCAATCTTAATCGAGATTTTGTTCCGATTTTCTCTCGTAATTCTGTAAGAAATATTTTCAACTCTTCCCGTTCTTGGCAAGCTATTTCTTCAGCATCGTCTTCCGCTGCAGCCTCTGGGGCTGCAGCTTTACTATCTAAGTTATCTCGTTCGTTCTCCTCAACCATTTTATAATGATTTCTGATGGGCTTTTCTTTAAATAACAAAATTGACAATAAAATGAAAATTTATATAGATTCCTTTATTTACTTTCACACACATTTCAGTTTGCAATTATTTCTCTTTGAAAGACGGTGTTGCCAATCTAACAATATCATGTGTTTCATGAACTACTTCAGATGATAATTATTAAGAACGAATATTGGTCTCTAAAAATATCATAATCATATATATAGATTGTAGTTACCTAGAAATAAGAATGTACTGTCGTATCCTCTCTTCTTATTGAAATCGCCTAAGATTTTATCCTTAATAAATATATATATGCTTATGCAAAACAAAAAAAAAAAAATATATATATATATATAATTTAAGCGATTAAGAAATTATTGCAAGAACAGTAATATGTTATGGACATTGCTTGATCCGATAGGGTAAAGTCAGTTAATTTAAAAGTTGCAGATTCACTCAAATGATGAACTACATACATTAACTTGCATAAATCCGATCACAAAGAAAAAATTAACAGCGTTTTCAAGCATGAAGATAAATATGCATGAGTTGGTTACTAAGCATTTTTTGTTAGATCGATAATATAGTAAATTTCCGCATTTATTATAGTGCAGAAGCGCCATAAAATAGGTCATTATATGTTGCATAATTGAACCGTGCAAACGCTAAATGCTTTGTTGGCAAAATGAAGACAAATTTCTTCAGAGACGTTATCCACTTTTATATCCAAAAACTGAAACCTTAAAGGATTTATTACAAAAGTCAAGTGTGCCGATAGTGAGTGCATTAGAAAAGTGTTTAAAATGAAAAACTTAACCTCATATTCTCATATATATAAAATATTATAATATAAAAGGAACGGCTTCATTATGAAATATTTTAAAGATGTTTACATAGAAAATCGTCTATTTGATCATCGTTTGGTCAAAGACGATTTAATTGATCGATGGCCTACACAGAAGGGTGATCAATATCCGGAACGCAAGGATTACAGAAATTTAATGGAGTCCTATGTATCAAAATTTTTCGTCATACATTCATGCACTCATTAACTGTAGTTGTTGATGTTGTTGTGAAAAAGCACTTTGAAAAATTTTTTAATTTCTTAATCTACTGATGTTGAATTTTCTGTTATTTAACCGACATTAGTTTTTTATAAGTTTTCAAAATACGTTTGTGTACTTTATTAAAAAAGAAAAAATTTTGATTATTATTTTTGGCTTTAGTTAGTGGATTTTAGTTAAAAATTAATAAAAAAACGAAATGTCCACAAAATTTGAACAAACTGTGATGTATTCACAATTGCAGCCATGGAGTATGGCTGGAGCACCGCCATGCATGGAACCCGTGTCCGGGCCGTCGGTACCCCCACGCGTTGGAACATCTTATCAGGTAACTTTATCGTTCTAAGGCAACTTTATTATAAGAAAATTTTTTTTTTTTTATTTTCTTTTGTATAAAGACCACTCATCCACATCCTTGGCGGCCGACGTTAAGTTACGAGATGATTGAGGTAAAAAATCTGCCAGAGCAACCAGTAACTAATCAGTTGGTGAAACCGTGCTTTGCTCCGTCCGGTATGACTACGGAGCCTTTGACATTTCCGAATTTGGTGACAGGATTTCTTCGTAATCCTCAACATGGCGCACGTGCCGCCCTTTACACGCGCTATACATCTGGAGAATGGAATAATAACAATTTAACCAAATATGCCGAATCCAATATAAATAGGTACATGTACGTTTTTTAGTTTAAACAATTTTTTCTAGAACTTTTAGCCTAACCTAGAAACCAATCTGAACGTATTCGTAACGACGCTGTTCGTTTAATGCGTGAAACCGATGAAAAAACATCTCAAGGTCAGCGGGACGCTGGTCGTCGATTAGGCGAGCGCATAACCGATGTTACCTTTTGGCGCAATGAACTGAACACAGAATTAGAAAAATTAATCTCCGAGTCATCTGCATTCACGGAATTAAAACGTAAATGCGGAAAAGCTATGTTAGATTTAGAGGCTCCGTTGCACATAGCTCAGGAATGCCTATATCATCGTGAAGGTCGCGCCGGCGTGGAGAAAGTGCATGATTCCGTTGAAAAGGCTTTACTATTGGAAATAGATAATCTGCGTAATTCAAGGCAAAGATTGCAAGATCTACATGAAAAGGTAAGAAGGGAAGCAAATCCTTCCAATTGACTAAACATTTGAGAAGTCTATTTTGCTTGTTTAAAGATTACCCGGCAAGCCAATGATTGTCGAGCCGCCCAACACTTATTGGAGGAAGATGTGACTCATAAAGAGTCCACGCTAGGTATTGATTCTGTATGCCATCAATTGAACAATTATAGCAGAGGTATTGCCTACTACGGAGGTATTGAAAAATACGACCCTACAGTTAGCACACAAGAATCTTGGGCTGAAGCAAGTAGCCAACGTGTTAGCAGGTTTGATTTAATAACTTTCTTTGTATTTATTGTAAAAACGCTTAAAAAATAGATCTCAGGCTGAAAGAGCAAAACTTTCTCAGCTGCGCAGCGATGCTGAGACTACGGTAAATGCCATTGCAACCTCAGTTTGGGACCATTGGAGTAACACTAATAATGCTTTGGATCGAAGAGCTCAAGAAATGGCCGAATCCAAAAATAAAATTCAGCTGCACTTGCATAAGGTTCAACAAGAATTATTTGATTTAGAGAAACATATTTTCTTATTGCAGAAAGCCATACAAGATAAAGCGAATCCATTAAAAGTGGCTCAAACTCGTTTAGAATCTCGTTCTCATCGCGAAGGTGGTGAATTATGCAAGTACGTATCTATGCGTATAAAAAGTGTTTCATTTAATTTAACAAATATTTGCCTGCAATGGACACTTTAAGGGATTACGCTCAATTGCGTTTGATTCAAGAAGTTCAGGATATTAAAGATGTGGTCAATTCATTGCACACAAAGCTTCAAGAAGCAGAAGCTCAACACCAAAGTCTATTAAAGACGCGTTCTACTTTGGAAGGCGATTTACGTAACAAAGTTAATGCTTTGTTTATTGATCGTGAAAAGTGCATGGGCTTGAGACGTTCTTTTCCCGTCAATAATATGATCAAGTATTAAAAATTTGTAATGAAGTGTTCTTTTCTCTTTTAATCAAATTTTATAAAAAATGGGAGATTTGTGTAATAAATTTTTTATCCCATATATGTGTAGCAAGGATTTTTACAATTATTTTCATTTTAAGTAAGAAAACAAAGTGAGGAGACAGGGATCCATGTTATCGATTTTTATCTTAAGGGATCTGGAATTCTTTTCGGCTAAACAATATTACGAACGATATGGGTATATTAATCGGGCTCTAAGATTTGTCAATACGTTGTGTTTTAAGGAGTGAAGTCGTTCTAATATTGGGTTAGTTACGTTTTTTATTACGTCATGTATAAAATGCGGATAGCGGTGTACAGTAGTGATTGATGTAAAGATAACGAAAGAAAACATGCAAATATATGGTATTTGGAATTGTAGATTTAAAGAATTTGACAGCGCTTTTTGACTTCATAGAAAATTAAAAATCATATTTAGCTATTATGGACACAACATTGACCCCATTTTCGCATATTAATAAGAGCTTCTAGCTTTGCCTCGTACATCAAGTCATAAGGTAGTTATTAAGGAAAAAGAAAGTGTTCTTGGTAAATGCCAAGCGTGTTTTTCTTGAAATTGTTTTGAAGTTAATATTATGAATTCGATAGCCAGAGGATTACGACGACATCGATCAAATCATTTCAAATTTAGCAAATTTTGCATATGTTAGGTTAATTACATTTCCTTATTTTTTTTTGTTTTGCCTTATATTAAAAATTCAACGTTTAGCAAACGTAAATATTGCAATAGAGTCGCAAGTCTCAATCGAACTTTATAGAACAATATCAGAATATTATTATTATTGTTATTATTATTATAAATTTAGCCAGAGAATATATTCTAAGACTAAGGTCTTACTAAGGTAACTAGCATCTAAGGCTTTTGGCTTTGAAATATCAGAATAATAAAATGCAAATATAAGTTGTTTTTTGCTATCCATTCAATGGAGTAGGGTTGCTTTTATAGTCAAGTCTCTTATTTACATAAATATTCTAATTAGGAGACAAAGCAATGGAACTTTGGCAACTTTGCTTAGAGAAAATTGTTTTTGCATTGATTGGTACTAGTTGGCGCATTTTGTCTTAAAGAAAGGTTTTCGTAAAAAAGGAAAGGAGTGTTATAATAGCCGGTAAAATTTCTCTAAATTTACTAAACTTATATTTAGAAAAAGAACTTTTTATGTACTTTTTTTTCCCCATTAAAAAGAGAGAGAAAAAACAAACAAAAAGTTTTCAAGAACAATATAAATCAACCCAGTAAAAGTATTATTTTGGTCAAATTGCAATTTTCGGTAAAATATTTGTGATTTGTGGCGTGAAAAAATATTTTTTAGTTTTAAACTTTTTCTCTTTTTATAATTATTAAACAGTTTTATACAAATTGTGTGCTCTTATATGGTTTTTATAAACTCGCATTGATTTGTTTGTCGATTACAATCTGACGTGTGCAATTCGGATCATGTTAGTTTCTGTTCAATTGAGATAAATAAATTTTTCTTCATACATTCTTTTGTCCATTTCAGTGACCTTTGAAACATATCGTAAATAAAGCAAGCAATGCGTTTGATAATCTTTGTATTAATAGCGTTTATTTTTCAAATGACTTTTGGAGTTGATCCAAATAATTTTAAAAAATGTGAGCAAAGCAGCTTTTGCCGGTAAATCATAAATTTAATGATATCAGAATATATATGTTTGTGTTAACATGCTTTTTCTTTCTTCTAATTAATATGCAGACGTTGCCGTAAAATACCGCCGGGAAATTCTAAATTTGCTCTTGTTCCTGGCTCGATGAATACATATTCAAATGCCATAACAATAGACCTGATTAACAAAGATACTCAACATTTATTTGTAGTTAAATTAGAAGCCTTAGTGGTATGCGTAATATTTTATAACATTATATGTTGTGTTAGGATTAATTAAGATTTTGTTAATTTTTCTTGTTTTATTTCAAGAATAATAGTTATCGTTTAATAATTGATGAGAAGACACCTTTAAGGCCCCGTTATAAAGTAACGCATGCTCTAGTAGCTGAACCTCAACCAGAAAAGTGTGTTTGTTTGTTTTTATTTGATTGTGTGGATATATATATATATATATGTTAATTATTTTAACACTATTTCCAGTATCAATATTGAAAAGGAAGATCAGAATGAAGTTGTTTTAACATCGGGTTACAATAAAGCTGTGATTGTAGCAGATCCTTTTCGTATTGACTTTTATGAGAACAATGTTTTAGCAGTGTCTGCCAATGCTAAAGGTTTAATGAATTTTGAGCATTTACGCAAAAAACCTTTCAATCCAGATGAGAATGTAGTTGAAAATTCTGATGATGTCAGTGAGACTAATGAGAAGGGACCATTTGCAACTCCTCAGGAAGATGATCCGGGGGCATGGGAAGAGAATTTCAATTCTCATCATGACTCTAAACCCTATGGTCCCGAGGCAGTTGCCCTAGATTTTTCCTTTCCCGAAGCAGAAGCATTATTCGGTATTCCTGAACATGCGGACAGTTTCATTTTGAAGTCAACTTCGGGTACCGAACCCTATCGCTTATACAATTTGGATGTGTTTGAGTATCTTATTGACAGCAAGATGGCCTTGTATGGCTCAGTGCCTGTGCTCTACGCTCACGGGTAAGTAAAGATAGCAATTGTGGGTTATTAATAAGTAACTGTAAATACTTTTAGAACACAATGTACTGCCGGTGTCTTGTGGTTAAATGCTGCTGAAACTTGGGTAGATATTAACACGGCTGAGAGAAATGTGGTGTCGTCTATAGTAAGCTTTGTTTCTGGCTCTCGCAAAACGGATCCGCAGTCGGCGCATTTTATGTCTGAGACGGGGATAATTGATACTTTCATTATGCTAGGTCCTTCACCTATGGATGCTTTTAAACAGTACGCATCTTTGACAGGCACCGCACCTTTGCCTCAAATGTTTGCTTTAGCGTATCATCAATGTCGTTGGAATTATAATGATGCTGCTGATGTGGAATCTGTTGTGACTAAATTTGATGAATTCGATATACCTATGGATTCCATGTGGCTAGACATTGAGTATACTGATGGCAAAAAATATTTCACTTGGAACAGTTATAAGTTTCCCGAACCTTTGGAAATGATCAAAAATCTTACGGACTTAGGCCGACATTTAATTATCATTATCGATCCGCACATTAAGCGAGACAATAATTACTTCTTTCACAAGAATTGTACGGACGAAGGTTACTATGTGAAGACTAAAGAGGGAAAGGATTATGAGGGTTGGTGTTGGCCCGGAGCAGCTAGTTACCCGGATTTTTTCCGCAAAGATGTGCGCGATTACTATGCCCAACAATATTTGTTAGAGAATTTTAGAACTACAACAGGTGATGTGATGTTATGGAACGATATGAACGAGCCGTCAGTCTTTAATGGTCCAGAGGTTACAATGCCTAAAGACCTATTACATGAGAACGATTGGGAACATCGTAATTTGCATAATTTATACGGGCATATGCACATTATGGCTACTTTTGATGGTTTACGTAACCGGGATCCGAAACAGCGGCCATTTATTTTAACACGTTCGCATTATGCTGGTTCGCAGCGCTATGCGGCTATTTGGACTGGAGATAACTTAGCTGATTGGGGTCATTTGCAGCATTCGATAAAAATGTGTCTTTCGGAAGCGGTAGCCGGTTTTTCGTTTTGTGGTGCTGATGTTGGTGGCTTTTTTGGAAATCCTACACCCGAATTGTTTGGGCGCTGGTATCAAACGGGCGCATTCTTGCCATTTTTCCGTTCTCATTCCCACATCGATACTGCACGGCGTGAGCCCTGGCTATATCCGGAAGCTACACGTTTGATTATACGTGACGCTATACGAAAACGTTATTCTTATTTGCCCTTGTGGTACACTATGTTCTACGAACATGAGCTTAATGGCGGTCCCGTTATAAGGCCTTTGTTGGCCCATTATCCCAAAGATGCGAATGGCTTTACTATTGACAATCAATTCTTACTGCAAGACAGACTAATGGTGCGACCTGTTATGGAGCAAGGTGTCAGCAAAGTTAGTGTTTTCTTCCCGGCTATTGATGATAAAAAAACATCAAACTTATGGTATGATACCGACGATTATCAAAAGTACGATCAAGCGGGCTCACAAACAATCCCAGTAAATGATTATAAGGTAAAGGAGATATGTGAATATTAAACTGTTATCCTGAAAATGTTACATTTTTTGCAGATACCAGTGTATCAGCGCGGTGGTACAATTGTGCCCAAAAAGGAGCGCATACGCCGTGCCGCTACTCTTATGAAAAATGATCCATATACTTTAATTGTGGCCTTAGACAGAGATGGCAAAGCCGAAGGCACTCTTTATTTGGATGATGAGAAAACTTTCGATTATCGTCAGGGAAAATTTATATATATTAATTATAAATTCGATGGTCGCAAGCTATTTAATGAATTCATTAATAGACCTAAATATGTGTCGAAGTCGTGGATTGAACGTGTCGTCATCGCTGGTCTAACTAAGAAACCCAAATCTGCCACCATTATTGTTGACGGACTAACCCAAGAGCTTGAAGTCCAACCGCAACAACATGCTTATGTTGTACGTAAGCCTGGAGTAGCTATAAACAAAGACTTCGAAATCAAATTGAGTTTCTAATTAAATTTGCAGTCTTTTGCGTTTTTTGCAAAAAATTTTTAAATTCTTTTGGCGTTACGTTTGTAAAAATTACGTTTTGATTAGTATTCCGATATTATTAATATGGAAATTATAGCATCTGAAAATTGTTTATTAAGAAATTTATATTTTAAATGCAAGAGTATTTTCTTTTCATTTTATCTTTTTGTTACATTTATACAATAAAAATGATAGTTTTATTATCAATTTAAACAACAATTGATTTTGTTCAATAAACAATGCAACATTGAAAATGTTATTGTGCTTCGCATGTTAACAATGTTGGTTAGGCGCACCACCTACTTTGCGCAATCTAGAAGTTTTATTGGCGGTGTTTTATCAATAATTAAAAAAAAAAAAAAAAAAATCGAACTTCATTCTTGTTGGAGATTTAGATGCGTTTAAAACATTTACACGAATACTTCGAAGTGTGCTGAATTTCGAACTTGCCCAAGGCATAAATATAAATATATTTGTCGCATTATATGCAGAAATAGTATAACTTTTGTTGTATGCTTAACATGAAGTTTAGTATGCGTGATGGATGGACGCACTAAGTCGTTGGTAAGCGTAACTCAGGAAAGGATCAATTAACGGTGACGAAGTGCCCCAAAACAAAATATCTTTTTACTGTCGCAATTACAACTTTCCTATCTTGATTTGTAATGCTTTGCTCAATTGCAATAATTTCTTACTCTACAATTAGATTAGGAACGAATACGCGAATACGGTTTAACCTATCGATGCAGACACATGTTTAAATTGTTCAGTTTCGGTGCGTAAGACAACCTTTAGCACTCGCATTGTAAATGTGTCGGCCAAAGTTGAGTTTGCGAATAAGGTTTACCCGACGACATTCCATTGAATCTACAAGTCTAATTGAATACGTAGATATTTTTATACTGGAGTTTAATGACCCATCACACGAAGAATTGAAGAATAAGGCTTTGGTCTTAGGGCAGTTAATGCACAGTATGATCCATGGCTTAATAACTGCTAAAGACTCATTAATATTTGTTATCGAACAAATACAAATTACTTGCATTACCTCTCTAAAGCAGAACAATGTGATCTACATACGCAAAAAAATCGCATTCGTTACCAATCGAATCCGTAAGAACATTTATGTAAAGATTAAACGGTAGGGGACCAATGTTCCCTACCGTGGAGAGCGTGGAGCTTATGCATTCGCTCCTCCATCCGGTCCATTCCACTAACCTTGTAGAAGAGAAAGAACTAATATTGTACTAAATAAAGAAGTAATGCGGCCTCAGTTGAAGATTACTTCCTTGGCTGTTATTGATGGGGTCGGATGGTCCCATGCGAATTCGCATGGACATTTTTGCACGAAATTTTCAAATCACTTTCCAACTATTTTATAGGTAATTGCATTTTGTGCCCAAAAGCGGCTTAATCGTTTCCGCAGCTTCAGCTGTATTTTTTTCTAGTGTAATTCAGTTTAAAACAGAATAAAAATCCAAGTCCATGAATGGCATTCATCTTTTCACAATTTGAATGGCTTTTCAATTCAAGATGTTATGTGGGAAGTTGTTGAAAAAGTACGCCGGATTTGAAACATTTTTAACTCTTTGCGCTCGAAATATTTTTTCATTCGTATTACTATCCGCGAGCCGTGACCGTCATTTGTCACCAACAGCGAAACACCCGAATACTAGTTTTTACGATTTGTTTTTGTTTTTATGTTAACAACTGCAAATTATTTAGAATGTCTCCGTTTCGGAGCCCTCGACTGCAAAGGGTTAAGAGCGTTCATATTTTATGGGCCAAAAGGCATTTAATCGCACATTTCGACCTGAACATAGATATAAAGAATGGACAGATGAACAGACGGACAGAAAGCGGCACCGAATCAATCGTTATAATAAAATTCAAGTCTATCTCGAGCTCTCAAGATTGTTTAAAAAAAAACTCCGCGGCGATGACTAACCCAACAGGGAACGCAAATTGATTGTATAACGCTGGGCTTTTAGAAAAATGCAATGTCATTGCACAGTAGTTTACAGTAGTTTAGTTTAGATAGGTTATGACATTTTTACGCATGTTACTGCAAAGTCAAAATCTTGTGAAAAAAACTTTGTATCATATACGATCAGTGCAAAAAAAAAAAAAAAAAATTAATAAATAAATAAAACAAAAAATAAAAATAACCCATGATAATAAGGCAAATTTATCGATCACGTATCGTTCTTGTCGTCATATTTTTTATTATCTACGAAAAGTCGAGCATGTGCTTACGAGTCCAGGCAGTCGGAAAAAGATAACGAAGCTATTAAAACGAAGTCGGATGGGTAACATTTTTATTAAATTGAAGAATTAAATATTAGCGTATTTTACGCCGCCCTTTCCAGAAAAGATATATATATATATATTTATTTATTTAGTTCGAATTTAACGAAAAAAGACAAAAAAAAAAAAAAAAATATTTATTCGCATGAAAAGACACTTGCTGTGATAGTCATAATCACTAGAAAATGTATTATAAATGCATTTGTGGCGAAAATGTTTAAAATCTAATTACAGGCGAATAATTAAAATAACAAATACACCTAAAAGAGTGGAGTAAAAACCTCTAATGTTAAATGAGATGCAGTGTTTTGTCTAAAAGGTTTGATTATTCTAGTTGCAGGTTTTTTTTTTTTTTTTTTCATTCAAAACATACATCTACATAACGGCATTACGAATATAATTGTAACTAAATGATTTTTTTTTTTTTTTTTTTTTTTTTTAAATTTTGTTTTTATTACATAAACGTTATATGATGAATGCAAGGCTATTATCACAGTGGGTAATTTATAGAGAAAAATTACTTCAGCGGATAATTGTAATGCAACGCAAAAGAAAAAAAAAAAATGAATATAATTATGGCGCGTAAATTACTGATATCCGTTAAGGACAACCTTTTTTAGATACACTCATAAAATTCTAAGGCCAGTAGTATTGCTTTACAAATTTTCGATAATATTTGAAAATAGATTTCTATGGCAATAGCAGGCAAAGGTAGCAAAGTCATCTTTGGTTATTATTGAAAAGGACTTGCACTCGATTGCGATCAACAGTAGATGATTGGAATAGCTTTACGTATAAAGTTATTTTTATTTTGAGAAATGGAAGATGCTTTTCGGTTAGAAGGATTCTTCCGAAGAACCTTTCCCGATATGATATTCCGTTCCTAATCACAGAAGTGTGCAATCTTATCGTTCACTGGCATAAAGAGGCAAATTTTCTTAGCGTTCGTAGTGTTTCGATGGTTTCATACTATTTATCATTGATTGGAATAATTTTGTGGAAATATGTGGCTTAATGAAAACAACCACCAAAGCGGTGCCGTTTCTTTTCTGAAGAAAGAAGAAAGAAAGGAAGGACTTTGGGGATAAGCAATATTCTCAATTTTTTTTTTTTTTTTTTCGGGTTATTTTAGAGAAATTCGTAGCCTAATGGGGTTAATTCACGAGTGCTGGGAAATCATTCGATATAAGAATTTCTTAAAAGTATTCATTTTTCCAACTTTAAAACAACATTTGCCAAGAAAAAGGCCATCAAGCCATCAGGCGATCATTAAGAGATATCGATTTATAGCGCTAATCGCCCATGATATAGTGGATCTCTATTCTCTCTCAATTAGCCGTCAAAAACTGCACCAAACTGCCACTTCGACCGAAGGTTAAACTGTCTCCCTCGTAGTTTCTGGATTGACTTCAAACTAGAAGCGACAATTTGTACTTATTCCATGAGCCTCACATGAGAAGACTATTTCCTTAAAAAAAAAAAAAAAAAAACCTGCAATCTGCATATGATTTGCTTATTAAAAAATTCGGATAATTTCACGAACGTTGTTGCAATTTTGATATTGAAATTGCGGCCATAATGTGAACAAAACGTTTTGCCGTAACTTTTAATAAAATATATCAAATTGAAGATGTTGGATGCGTTTCTCAGCGATCACGAATAGCGGACTTCGACGAATTCCTTTGCAATGACAAAAGGTTTAGACGTACGTTAGTCGCCAACTCAGGCCGCAAAATACCATTATCGCCCAGATTAACGATCACCTTTGAGGCGGAAATTTCCAGAAAAAAAAAGTGGCCTCTGACAGGTCTGAACATATATAACTTTACTTCCCAACGTTTCAAATAAATTTTTTGCAAGGAATCGATGAGTTGCATCCTTTATGCAACTCATAGTAAAGGCGATGTCCTCAAAGCATTTCATCTCCTGAACTTTAGTTACTACTTGCTTCACAACCAACTGACGTAGGGTATTGCAAGTAGTCTGCTTATACGAAAGGTACGCAAACTTTTAAAAAATTTATAAATATATATAGGAAACGTCATTCAATTAGTTTGTAGGAAAACATATAGCCATTCTACATGCATATCTGACTCAAAGTACTTATAGATAACATCTAGATAACAATTAACTCAATAAGCCTCCAAACTAGAAGGTTTTGTACCATCCAGAAATCGTACGCGTCTCTCGATAGTGTTGCCACGCATGTACCAGACCAGAGGCAGAGAAGTTCTGCCACGCCCAGCATGCGCTTCTCATTGCCACTTGTTCAGATCGTTGCGAGCATGGTGAAGTACGCACCGGGGTAAGTGGGTCAATAATTGGAATGCTGCCAAATCAATATCATTCGTTCGACACGATATCAACATGTTGCCACGAAAATGGAAAAAAATTGTAGAAAATGATGTAAAATATTTTGGTTAGTATACATTCTACCCATTTTTCTCAATCAATGTGTTTTTCAAGTGAAAAAAAATTTCAAAACACATGCAGCCTCTTAAGACATAAATAGTACACATATTCAACAACTTTCCACACTACGTGTATAAATATGTACATATGTTGAAGGGTCGTATTGTTTATGCGATGTACTAATGTCGGGATCATTTCCATACAAGCACGTCCAGTAATTGGATAATCGGGTCTTAGTGCTTTTAGATTGCAAAGTGTAACGATCAGTATTGTTAGTATTTGTGTACTTATTCCTGTGCTCAGTGTAGTGTCAAAAGTCAAAAATAGACCAGAAAATAAGTTAAAATGAAAAAAAGACGATGCAATACCGAGTGCAACGACTAAACATCTTTAACTGTCTTTTGATGAATATTAAGGAAAGTG